GTGAACCCCCTTGTTGTTTGCCCGGGGTGGCAATGAATACATAGCCCAGATTAGAGCCTGTGCTACACAGAAGTATGGGAGGCCTCTGTGAGAGGCTGGCGGCCAGCCCTGGAATCAATAAACACCAGAAGCTTCGGCTCCTGGGAGGGTGCCTGGATCCGACTGGTGAAGGTTGTAGGAGTGAAATAGCCAGCAATAGCAATGGCTCCAGTGACAGCAGCAAACTTCAGATCATCTCTCTGGCCAATGTTCCTGGACGATCTCGCATTGACAGCAGCGGGGGTTTCAATGGCACCAATGGCACGAGCTGCCAGCAGAAGCTTCTCCCACATTCTCTTCAGATTTATGATGTAAGTACCATTCCTTTTCCTTCTGTAGACATACCTCTGCATTTGGAAGTCAAGCCACCTAAGTGGGTTCATGCTGCAAGGAATTTGAGGACATCCTCCTTCTTCACTTGCAGGACACCAAGGGCTCTGGACATTATGAAAGTCTGCTTTTAAGTTATGAAAGAACCGAGAACCAGGGTGAACAAGGTCGTAGGGGCCTCTTCTCTGGTTGGGAAAGAGGAAGGTGGAACAGTGGTTTTTTACAGGTTCTCTCTGGCTGTCTCTTTCCCTGACCACATCCAGCTGTTAAGCTTTACTAATTGCTGGGTGATTGCTTTATTGCTTTCAGTAGTATCTTGGAGCATAAACTGCTCAACCATAAAACAATGAAATTCTGTTATTGGGATTTGTTTTGTCGCCAGTCTCTTCCCAGCTATGTCTCTCTTGCTGGGAAGCAAGGCCCCTGGGAGAACCTGCGACAGGTTCTCTAGCCAGCCCATAGTTGAATTTGCATGTCCTGTAATGCCACTGATATCAAACTAATTGCCCTTCACTACAACCTCATTTCTGAGAGCACCCTCAGGCTTGAACTTCTCCATATTCTGTTTCAAATGCAGTCAGTTCCTTTCGTGAAAGGATAGGAGCTCTCTGGTTTACAGCCTGCCCTCCCTCCAGCAGACGCGACATCACTGCAGTCATGCCTTTGGAGGCAGAAGTGGGAACGACCGCACGCTTCTCTGAGTGACGCTTCCAGTTTAGGAGCTGAGTGCTCACTGGGGCTGGCGGTGGGGAAAAGTACCTTTAGCTCTTTTCTGCTTGACTCTCCCGGCATGGACTCACTGCCTAGCCAGCCACCTAGTCAGAAAGGTGATTGGGGCTCCAGTATTTTTAGCAGCACCGTTAACTCCGGGCAGAACCTCCTTGAAGGCTAGGCAGAAGGGAAACCCCGTCTCTCACCAGCGCTTACTCATAACTTAGCTTCAGTGTCAGAAAGGTGGGAGCAGGGTGAGAAAATGCCGATGCCCTGCCCTCCCTGGGATGATAGCCCTCCGCTGGGAGCTGAGGAGACAGGCCCCCGTGTTCTCTGCAGTGCATTTTTCCAGCTTGCTGAGTGGGGAGAAGGGATCTCAGTTCAAATTCCACAACTCTCACTTTTCTTACCATATTGTAATACATTTTCTTGGATATGTGTTTTAGTTGCTGTATATCCTTCAACCGCATTGAGATTTTAACCGGTCGTTTTAAAATAATTTTCATGAGTTTTGCTGGTGAATGAGCTAAAGTCAGTCATATCCCCCATTTTATTTCCTCTTTCTGGAACAGGTATTTTCTCTAATAAGTTTTATGTTGGAACTGTGCTTGCTATATTTTACATTTCAACCTATCCTATTTTCCATCTCTTTATTTCTCTATACATCCTGTTTTTTTCTTGAGTTCATAATCCAATTTCTCTCTCCAAATCTAATGTTCTGAATAACACTTCTAATTTTATTGACTATATTTAAAATTTCCATCAGTACTATTTAGCTCCTTCAAAAACCTGCCTAGTATTTTTCAGATAGTCTTTCTTTTTTATGGCCTTGTTCCTTATCATTTATCAAATATGTACTTTGTAGTCTATATCAGACCCATTCTTAAATTCTAAGGAATTTTGATTGCTTACTAAGCTTGTTTGCTGTTGTTACATTGTATGAAATGCTGTATATACTATTTTTTAATCTTAATTCAAACAGGGAGGCTGCCACCTTCCTTTTCCTGTATTTAGATGAAGGTAACTTTGAGTTAGAATATAACTTTTTGCAACTGATTAATGGATACAGACACTAAAGCTGATGGCTGCTAATATCTGAGAAAGAAGAAATATTATGACCTTCCGAATGGAAGAACATACCACCCGTGTTGAAAAATGTATCTATCCGTCTAGATTCAATGTATCAATTTAGAGGAAATAGAAGACAAAAGATTGTTAAACTACACTATGGTGATGTGGTTACAAAAATCTGGGTTGTACAAAAATCAAGGACAAATTGGGTTTCTTCATCAAATAAACTGTAGAGAGAGAGAGAGGGAACATAAAGAATAAAAGAAGGGAAGGGAGAGTAGACGAGAGGGAGAGTGAACAAAAGATTAAAAATGTGTATCAACCACTTGCAGTAGATCCTGATTCAAATTAACTGTGTAAAAAATTGGCCTTTATGAAACACTTGAACCTCCACATATTCACTGCATATTTGATGACATTAAGGAATCTTTATTCATTGTTTGTGTGCTAATAGTTTTATGGCTCTTAAAAAGAAACACTGAAATATTCATGGATTATGTGATAGGAGAAATGCTTCAAAACACATGCGAGGAGGGTACGGGGGGTGAAAGTTTAGAAGATTGGTTTAGATTAAAAGATTGGTTGAGATAATTAAAAAAATTTTTTTTGCCCTGGCTGGCATAGCTCAGTGGATTGAGCATGGACTGCAAACCAAGGCCTCTGGTTGGATTCCCGGTCAGGGCACATGCCTGGGTTGCGGGCCAGGTTCCCAATGGGGGCCACATGAGATACAACCACACATTGACATTTCTCTTTCTCTCCCGCTTTCCCTCTCTAGAAATAAATAAATAAAATCTTTTAAAAAAATATTTATTTTGAGAGAGAAGGGAGGGATAGAGGGAAACATCAATGTGCGAGATACATCCACCACCTGCCTTTCGCATGCCCCCAACTGGGGACTTGGCCCACAACCCAGGTATGTGCCCTCACCAGGAATATGGACCGGTGACCCTTTGGTTCATAGGCCAGTGGCACCCAATCCATCGAGCCACACCAGCCAGGGCTGAGATAATTCTTGAAGCTGGGTGATGGATACGGGTTCATTACTGTTCTTTGTATACATTTGGAATTGGCTTTCCCATTACTTTAGCCTTGTAATTTTGATTTTTATGGAGGGGGGATTTGCAAACTAAAGTGAGGTCAAAAAGAGCAGTTCAGGAATGCGTCATCACATTCCAATGTGCAGACTTTTAAAGCTGGAATCATCTACAAAACTGAGGGCATAGTTTCAAAACACTGACAATTTCCTTTTAATCTTCCCTAAATGAAATCATCAAATGATTTTTTTTATTCTGTAAAAATGTACTCTTAACAAAATACCTAAGAAATCAGGCACATATCTGTTTTAGTTGCCTATTATAAACAACTCCAGGATGTACTAAGCTAATTAGCAAAACATTTTTGTTCTCAAATGTAACTGTTATTCCAGCCATCTCTTCTCTTTTGGTTGACACTGCATATGAACTAGTCTGATTGTCTCATCCTCAAAATCAAGAAAAACAATAAGCAGCTCATAATGCCAATAAAGATTTCTAAGTTAATGAAAATAATCAGTCACTGGGCACTCTTTCAAGGGTCTAAGTCACTAGGCTAGAACTTTCCCATTATGCCCATAATCTACTAAACTTCCAAATGCTCAAAAATTAATCATGGTGTTCATTAAATTTTGTAGTTAAAAAAGTCAGGTACATTCCAGGAGGAAGTGGTCGGCAAAGTCCTGAAGAATGAGGGACGATGGAAATTGTATCAGCTGTGTAAAAGGAGTGAATGATGGGCAACAGAAAACAGGAGGGTAGCCCATTTGTGAGGTCTGCAGATGAGGTTGCTTCAAGGCTACAGGATCAAGCAAAGTATCTCTCAAAGTTGGGGAGATGCACTTTCTGAAGGCAGCAAGAAAAACACCCACATGTTTTTGCCTTGACATTTTCAGACATCTAAGAATGAAAGAAAGTAGGTGAAGTGTATCTTACAGGGTAGTGAAAACAACCATGGGTCACGGAGCCAGAGAACCCTGGGCTCAGACCCACTGAGTCCTTGGTGGATCCTAATGTTCCACTGGAGTCAAAACCACTGCGTTACAGAATCTGAGAGCCAAAGTCACATGCATCCCAAACAGCCCAATGTTAATGCTAGAGGGCCACTGACTTATTCCATTCTTTATAGTTAGTAGTTTATAATCTTGAAGGCAATCTCACAGACACAAAGATTAACTTTACAGGTCCTTTAAACAGGCAAAAGATGTATCGTTGAGGACCCTGTAATAGAACATAGTGGAAAGAAAAGTAATGATTCTGAGAAAAAGTCTCTGAGACAGAAAAGTCCCATAAAATTAATAAAGTGAAACTAAAAAAATATTGGGCACAGTATAACGTGTATATATAGTGTCTTAGTTTAAGACTATGTGTTACCTGCTCAGTTGTTCTCAAGAAGTTGTTGCAAACCCAAATATTGTTGACTGTTCAAGTCATTAATGATCCTTTTTATTTTTTTTAAAGATTTTATTTATTTGCTTTTAGAGAGAGGGGATGGGAAAGAGAAAGAGGGAGAGAAACATCAATCTGTGAGACATACATCAATTGGTTGCCTCTCACATGCCCCCAGCTGGGGACCTGGCCTGCAACCCAGGCATGTGCTCTGACTGGGAATCAAACCAGAGACCTTTCTGTTCAAGGGCAGCACTCAATCCACTGAGCCACACCAGCTAGCACCCCCATGTTATTTAAAAAAAATAATAATAAAATAAAGATGAACTCAAAAAGAAGTCTTCTTAGTATTATTATCTTATTTTTTGCTTCATTACCAGAAGTAATGTGTTCAACAAGTGGATCTTTCTAAGTAATTTTTATTAAAAAAAAACTTTACTATTTGATTATATTCCTGTAGAAAAAAATATGCAGACAAATATAAAGAAAATTTAAATTATCCAGTATACCCCCAAAATACAATGAAAGATTTTATATCTTCTTCGACTTTTTGCACATTTATGTAGAATTTTAAAACAAAACCAGGTACTGTGAAATGCTTACACATCCTTTTTTCATTGAGCATCCAATTCTTTGGGACATTAAATATTACATAAACACATGATCTTTAGCTGGTTGCTTCACAATCTAATTAGGGCTAAACTATAATACATCTCCAATTTTTGGATATTAAGATCGTTTTGAATATTTGCTATTAAAACTGACACTATATTAAACATCCTTCTTTATACATAAGTCTTTGTATGCATTTCTAATTTTTTAAAGATAAAAGGAGTAGAGAAACCAGCACAAAGTGTATACTTATTTCTAAGCCTTTTGATACATTTTACCAAACTGCTCTCCAGAAGACTGCACCAATTTGCAGTGACACCAATCAAGTCTAACAGCCCCCTTGTCTTCGTGTTTCTTGGCAACGTGGGAAACTGCATGTTACCTCCCACCCTTGTTATGAATTTAATGGGGGAAGGGTGATTAGTTCTCTTCTTGTCTTTGTTCTGAAGTGTAGGAATTTTTCCATGTTTCCTGGTCATTTGCTTTCCCTCTTTTTTGAAGCAGCCCATGTCTTTCAGAAGGCACCTTTCACGTTGGCATCGTCTTGTCTTATCACATGTTCTTCCTCAGCGGGTATGGGCATGAAAGCTTTCCACATTTCAAATTAAGCAGGAATTCCCGAAATGACTAGACTTACGAAGTCTTCTTGCCTTCTGGGCAGCCAGGTTATTTTAATGTCTCGGTAACAAGACAGAGAACTGGGCCATATTCTGAGGGAAAAAGTAGGCACAAATTATAATTAACCAAGCACTTACTGGTTTTTATGCATGACTTTATTGTACTTGGAATGCTGTTAAAAACCATATTTTAGAGTGCAGACTCATGGGATATGCACTTTATAAACTCTCCAGAAAATGCTCATGTTCACCAAAGTGAAAATCACGAACCAGATGTGGGACTTTGCACATTACTCAGAACTGATTCCTCACTCATCTTTCCTGGAAAGCAAGGTTTACACTGCTCTTCACAGAACACTTTCTCAGGGTCTCACCTGTCTCCATCCCCTATGTAGGAAACATCTTACACACAAACCGCCAGCCAGGCTTTTGTTTATGCAACCTCCATCTTTCACCTTTACCCCAGTGGAAAAAAATCATTGCAAGTTTAATACATTACTATCTGCAAAAAGAATAGGACCTTCTTCATGACAGTGTCTTATGTATCTTTGTAAACCACAGCCTGACATATAGTAGGTACTTACCGGTTATGAAATGAATTAGTGAATGAATGATATACATTTCTGTGCTGAGAGAACTGAAAAATCCTACCACAGAATAAGGAATTACTATAAGGCACTCGTTCCCTTAATGCCATATATCGAAAGCCAGGAATCTCAATTTTGTCTAGATCAGCAATTTTCTTCATTTTCTCTTTATATCACATATCCTTTAGGAATCTGATGAAAGCTATACATACCCTCTTTAAAAACGCATGCATAGAAACTACACAATTTATACACACTTTCGGAAGTTTCAAGGAGGGGAGAACACTGATTCCTATCACCCAGAATTTTTACTTAAAAATGGAGCTGAAATAATAAATGTATTGTTTGACAAATTATCTTTAAGTTCAAGAGACTATGGTCAGCTGGAGTCTTGCAGGTGACATTAACCTCAGCAGCAGCAGCAAAAGCATGAGCCACAGTTCCCAGAAAGCACAGAGTGCTCACTGGACAGGCTGGAGTTGTGCTGCTCTGCGCACTGTACTCACTGCACTCAGGTGAATGTGGCTGTTTCTGACTGGCATCCCCAAGTTCTGGGTATTTTCTACCCCCTTTTCTTCACAGTGAGAACAAGGCTTTCTGTATTTCAATTAGGATGCAACACTTCGTGGGGAAAAGGGTTATCATTTATTTATTAAAGAATATTTTTCTCCTAGGTATACAGGTTGAAATCAGCTGATGTTTCTTGCTCCTTATGGACTTAAAAGTCTACCAGGAAAGATTTATGACAAATTCCCATATTCCCGACTTTGCCAGTACTAAAGGCACTTTCGTTTCCGTGGTGTGCGGGAGCCTGCACATGCGGGTGCAAGGACCTACTGTGCGTGCTCTGTCCCAGCTTATCAGTGGCTTCATGTTGGCCGGCTGAAATCACCTGTGCTGGAGCATTTACACCACATAAATTGGCAAACACCACAAATCATGACACCTCCATGCCTAGCGGTGATCATTTACTACCATATTGTATCCTTATCACACTAAAACTGTGGCTCATCCAGGCTTCCTTGACGGTAACTGGGGTAGAGAGGGCTTATTATCAACCTTTCAAATCCTCTCTCGACTACAGCCATAAGACCTAAGAGTAAGGGTATGTTCTAGAAGACCTCAGGGTATACTTGGCTTCCCTCTTTGGATATTAGGTAAATGTGATATCTGATTAATTTGAGGCAACTCTGTATCTAATATGGTTAATCAAGAGTTACAAGATGTCCAAACAATTATCATACATTTCTGAGCTTGGCGGTTAGTTTAAATTCCAGAGTGGGGCAAAAGTAGGTTTACAGTTGTGAGTCTGCAAAACACAGAGTTCGTTTTTGTGTTATTATTTATTATTCTATTATTTTCCAAACGAACAGCTATAAACCTATTTTTGCCCCACCCTGTGTATTATGGGCATTAATACCAGCATTGAGAAGTGACCAATCTACAACCCATCTGATGGTTACCATTAATCACCGTCTTAGTTCTGCACAGCATTAGAAGGAGGCAGATATTCCTTGGCACCACTTTGTTACTACTGCTATGTCAGTTTTAGCTTTAAAGGCTGCAACTGCTTTGCAAGAATCTGCGAAAGAAAAAACAGCTTCCTCAGCAATGTAGGCCACATGCAGAGCAGGCACTATTCACCTTCAGAGTAAGGCTCAGAGACACAATGAAGAGCAAAACCATGCCAAGACTCTGGCAGGCCAGGTACAATGCATTACCAGCCAAATATGCCTACACAATTTCGTAAGTGGTGCTTACTGTTGCAGTAACTGGGATGATGCTTACTGTTGTAGTAACTGGGATGAAGGCTCATGGAAAACACATAGACTAGTATAAAGACATTAGGAGATGGACCAAAGGTGAATTGCAAATAAGAGGAAAGGCAGTGGAGGATCTATGGAAGTGTCTGCTTGCAGATGGTTCAGGATACTCACCTTCAGGTTATGTAGGGTTTCTGACCATTCCATGGACCCTATCTGAGGTATGGTAGTGAGGAGTAAACTTGTGGCTTTATTGGCATTTTCTTTCAGAGTCTTTAAAACCCGGTCCACTGAAACCTGGGGAAACGACAGCACAGGATGTTATCAGCAAGTACAAATTCCACTGCTTCTTATGGAACATTTCCCTAAGTTCCTATCTGATCTGTAAAGTCAGTTTACCTGTTTCCATCCCCTGAGCCCAAGTTCTGCATTTATTAAGATGATCTTGGTCCACGGGGAGAAACCCAGTGATAGCTTTGAAAAGCCCCATTTTCAGCATGGGGTCCGAGAGGCTACCCCAGCTGTCTTCTGTGGTAGCCTGGTCTAGGGAGCTGTGGCCATTCTCCCCAGATCCAGAGGATGAATTCCAGTCAAAACTGTTGCTACATTGGGTAACCAAACAGTCAGATAATAAACATCTCTTTTTAGAGAAGTCTTCCAGCTAATAAAGGAAAATGATGGAATCAAAGTATCATTTTTTTTCTTTTAACAGCTCTCAAGAAATTAATGGGTAGGCTGCTCACGTATCATAACAACAAAAACCCCAACCAAATAAACAACCCACTCTGCTGATGGAAAACTGAACACCATGTAGGACACCTGAATCTGATCAAATCTCTAGATCCAGCCGCCAATTTATACAAAATACGGAGGACAGAGAAGCTGGTGAGAGTACCCGGAGGAGGTGTCTGCAGCAGTTCAGACTGGGGGAAACTATAGGTCAAGTCATTGGTTTCTTTTTAGGAAACTTGGGAGAAAAAAACCACTTGAGTTTTTTGAGATAACTAGAAACTTGAACTTTGCCTGGGAATATGAAGGAATTACGGCTGGCATGTGCTAACGATAATGTTATTTTGTCAGATACTCCCTCACATGTTTATGGACAAAGTTATGGGTCAGAGTACAGATGAAATATGATTGGCTGTAAGTTGAAATCATGCTGGTTGAAGCTGGATGATGGATCCATGGAAACCCATGGTACTGTCTACTTTGTATGTAACTAAAATTGCTCCATGAGGAAAATGTAGAAAAGGTTGTTACGATAAAATGCGTGATTAGAGGAGTACTTGTCACACTGCGCTGTACTCAGAAGAAATCCAGGATTCAGGGCCACGATGGTTACAGCTTTCATCCCATTTCCTGGAGTATAAAGCCCAGGTCCCTCCCATAAACATCCAGAAGTCTTTAGGAAAAATGGTCAGGACCGTAGCAGAGGGAGTCCCACTGCTGTGCGAACACAAAGTGGGGCCAGCTGGTGCCTGCCAGGCACAGCTGCAGGCACGTTTCAAGTGGAGCCTGAGAATACAGGGTCCTAAAGCACACAAGGGAGTCACCTCATATTTACTCTTTTTCCTGTGACTGATACTTCTATACAGACTCCGACTTCTCCTGGTTCCTGCTGTTGGGCTCTACCCGAAATACGTGTTAACCTCCTCACAATCAAATTTAATCCTCGAACAGCTCAAATCTCAAGTTTCCTTCACAAACTTTTTATCTTTCCACTCCCAACTCCATCGCTGCTCCGATCCCATGACTACTCTCCTGGGAGCGAGCACTGTACTAGCTGCTCTACTCACACAACTTGGCTCGCTTCTCTCAGTAATCCACCTAGGTCAAGATCGAAACTGAGCAACCTACACCCCCCACTCCAAAGCCCTGGCTCCAACCTATGGAGGAGTACCTTGTTAAATAACATGCCAGGTATCACAAGCAAATGGAGCAACAGGAATTTGAAGGTGGGTTGGCGACTCTAAAACCTTTCTATCATGCCAGGCTGTACATCTGGTTTGAAGCACAATGATACTCATGGCCGGCTGAGACGAGGCCTTCTTTGTTATACCTTTCCTGTACCACTTAACATTACTTGCCTTCATGCCTTATCACTTACACAGAACTTAGTTTCACTTCTTAAAAAAATTAAAACTTGATAAGGTGTATTTAAAGAAAATATAAGTTGTTTAAGATTTACTTATTTATTTTTAGAGAGTAGGGAATAGAGGGAGAAAGAGAGGGAGAGAAACATCAATGTGTGGTTGCCTCTCGCATGCCTCAAACTGGGGACCTGGCCCACAACCCAGGAGTGTGTCCTGACTGGGAGTTGAACTGGCAACCTTTTGTTTCGCAGGCTGGCACTCAATCCACTGAGCTACACCAGCTAGGGCTTTACTTTTTCAAAAGAAAACCAAAACCAAATAAAACAAAACACAAAACCTCAGCCAAGGACATCATTATTAATCTTAGGGAGCAAGGGAGCTGAGGCACCGGGAGAGGAGGAGAAAGGGAGAGGGAAAGAGAGAGACACACACTGACAGACTGCCTTCTGACAGACAGACGCCCGACCAGAGAGCCAACCTGCAAGCTTTGGGTATGTGGGATGATGCTGCAGCCAGCTGAGTCACCTGACATGGACGGGGCTGGTTTTTTTTAACTGAAGTAGTTCCAATCAACTGCTTTTCAAACCTTGTGTGGCCCACTAAAGGAAAGCACTGTTGGCTCTGCAGAGGAGAAATATTCCTGGATTAGCAGAAAGCCACAGGCAGAAAACCTTGTGTTCTCAGCAGGTGGCAGACACTGAGGCCTGTCCCTTAGGTGATCAGAGCTGGCAAGTCAGGGACTGCGCTGTGTCGGGATTTAATAAATCTCTTACGTTAGAAAGCATCCTTGTAGTTAATGACACTGAGTGGTCAGGATAAGGCATTACACAAAACAAAGAACCTGTGTTCATCTATGACCCACAATCCACATACAAGGGTGGACAGACAGCAAGAATATCCTACCCAGTTTTACATGAAACTGGATGTTGAAACAAGCAGCAGAGATGGTGGTAAGGGTCCCCTTGCAGATGTCACCTGTCCTCAATGTGCTCACAGCAGCCACCCTACATTTTTTTCTTACTTCAAAATTCCTTGACTGTAGTTCTGTCCCTTTCTGTATTTTAAAATAGGACAAATGATCTGCTTCTTCAAGTAAAATGCAGGTGATAAAAAGACAGAAGGGAATATTAGGTTAAAAGGGACATAGTCAAATGAAACATGTGGATTATAAAGGACCCATTTGAATAGCTGAAAATGATGAGATAAGAGGGAAAATGTGAACAGCCTGGATATTTGCTTATATTCAGGAATTAATGTAAATATTTTTGGTACCATAATGGTCCTGTGGTTCTTTATTATTTTATAAAAAAGAAAAGAGGCCTTTTAGAAAACTACTTCTAACTAATGAAGGCGGGTGAGAGAGAAGTGGTAGGGACAGAGACAGTACACAAAGCAGGCGGTGGCTGAGAGCCGGAAAGCTGAGTGACGGGTAACTGGGGTTCATCGTACGAGGCCCATCTACCTTCGCAGATGCTTCAAGTTTTCAACAACGAAAACGCTTGTTTTGGAAGCCCGACCTCGGCAGTCCGGTATCCTCAGACACCAGTGGGACCTTGCTGTGTTTCCTGCCTAAGACCCCAACTGACTTCCCTTCTGAAATACACGTCTCCTCAGCCCCGCCACACCACTCAGGCAGGGCCACCTTTCCCATCACTCGTAAGGAAGGGTCCCAGACGTCTAATATTCAGTCGACTGAACTGGACTCGTACTCCTGAGACTCAGCACACTACTTCCTCATAACCCCGAGCTTTCTCACACTGGTTGCTTAATCTCTGACCACTCCCCCAAAAACCCAGAGTGTTGACTCCTGACACACTTGTTTCATTTGCTGTCATACTCCTCACTGAGCAATGCATCCAGTCACAGTAGGTTAAACAGGTAAGATATGAATACAGGCCACTTACCAGAAAGAGGTAATAAGAAACACTAAGGTTTTTTCTTAAAAACAAAACAGGACAGCAGCACAGAACAAAGGAAATCATAACCAAAAACCTTTAGTCTTCATAAAAGGCCCAAGTCTCGATATGATTCCCAACATACTTACATGCCTACAATGTAGTATTCACTATTAATTCTTGGATAAGTGCCTTTTTCTTAGGCACTTTCAGATATTGTGCCTTTCAGATATTGAAAATATCTGAAAATACAACTGACAATGCATTAAAAGTTGACCTTAAAACCTGGTAAAAAGGCAGCTTCTGGAACTAACGCAATAGAAACAAATAGTTAAGATTCTCTCTTACGGGTGCTCACGGCACCCAGAAACATGCGTGCTTTGGAGAGAAGTCCACCTACCGCTTCCTCGTGTTCCTTCCAGCAATCATAATCTGTTGCCATGGCGATACTGGCATAGCAAAGCCCAGCCTCCTTAGCAAGAACCACCTCTGGAACCGTGGTCATGTTAATAACATCCGCCCCCCAGGTTCGAAACATGGAACTTTCTGCCCGGGAACTGAATCGAGGTCCTTCGATTGTAATCATAGTCCCCTTCGGATGGCACCGCAGTCCTAGCTTCTTCGCAGACTCCGTGAGGACCTAGAAGAGAAAGAACCACAAACTGGTGGTAGAAAAATGGAGACAACTGTACTCAAACAGCAATAAAAAGATAACTCGGAAGATCCCAGTTTCCCAGACCTTCACCCACTTCCATACCCTGTCTCCCCAGCCCCTGCACACGGAGCTCACAGCTACAAGAGCAAACACTGAAGTTTTTCTAAGCACTAAGAATTTATTGACATGTTTTAAGCTCCTTTATTTTTTTCTTCTTTTTTTAAGATTTTATTTTTAGAGAGAAGGGAAAAAGAGAGGGAGAGAAACATCAACATGTGGTTGCCCCTTGCATGCCCCTTACTGGGGACCTGGCCCATAACCCAGGCATGTGCCCTCGACTGGGAATTGAACCGGGAACCCACTGGCTCTCAGGCCAGTGTTGAATCCACGGAGCTGTACCAGCCAGGGTCATTTCTTTCTTAACAGCTTGAAGAGACTAAGCTGGGCTGTGCACAAGGACCTGAGTCTGGGCTCTTCACCTCCACGGCTCAGCTGAGCTGCTGCTCCTCGTCCACATCTCCTCGAAGAGACGTCTGAGAACTGTTTCCAAGCTCCTGAGAAATTCATTCTCACTGCTCTTTTGTATAAAATCTGAAGACTTCTGTAAATGCTTTTTTTGACTAGAAAGTAGTTTTTTCATAATCTCTTCTGCCTGCTGCCTCTCCAAGGACACATGTTAAAAACAGCACACTATTTTTTTCAGGGGTCAGGCTCATTTTTTCTGTCCAAGGAAAAATGTATCTTAGCATCCCTTTAGTTGGCAAGGCTGCATGTGGATTTTAGCAACATTATTCATAAGTTTGATCACTTTTTCCAGTGTCTAATAACATCTAAACTTCAGGTTATTAATTAATTTCATTTTTTTTCTTGGCCTGTGCTTCAACATTTTTTTAATTAAAAAAAACTAGTCTTTTAAACTTAACTGTTAATTAAGCACTGCTGAAAATTCCCTTAACCTTTGTATGAATTAGCTCTCTCACCTGTAGAACGGGAATAGTAACACTGTATGATGGTTAAGTGAGCCACCGTCTGTGTGCAGTCTGCAGACTGGGTGGGTTTCCTCTGGGAACTCACATCCCAGAGATGTGACATTAGGTGGTTTCTAGCCTGTTCCGCTCTGCGTGAGTGTGGGTGTGCTGAGTGCGCCCTGAGGTGGAAGGGCCTCCCGTCTAGAGTGGGTTCCCACCCGATGCCCTGAGCTGCCGGCAGATGACCTCTGGCCACCCACGACCCTGAACTAGAATAAGCAGGTTGGAAAATAACGATCTTACCTGTTTTTATTCGTCTTTCTTAAATGCATGTATAGCTCGCATTTATTTCAATGTTTAATATTAGAAAGGTTTTGGATCTTTATATTTAGAACTTTAGTGATATTTTTTGTCACCAGAAATACGTCGTAAGAACTCGATTCTCCTTCACTGCAGCCTTCTGTACAACTGATTTCATTGTTCATCATTTTGCATTAAAATCGCAATCTCCAAGAACCCACAGACAGGGTTAAAGGAGGATTTATTGTACTGGCAGCTTTTACAGGCTAACCAAATAAACCGGCAAAGGTTCCTGGGAGATTATATTTATTTATGTATGTGTAAGTATATATACATAATAGATATGAATATGTATAAATAAATATAAAATGGATCAACTCAAAGTCAATAGAAGGTTCCAATGTAGGGAAGTCTTGCCTGCTTATGTCTGAGCCCCATTAGCAAATTAATCTATTTCCTTAAAAATAACTTATACTATGCTACAACAGTGCGAGAAAGAATTTTAATTAGAGCCACGGCATTTCCAAACTTAGAACCATGACGAGCACAGACAACAAATAGTTGCTGCTTCATCATCTTTACTTGTTCTCTATATACTAAAAGTAAGATTACACTTAATCGAACATTTTCCTGAAAGAGTACAGGTTATAAATGCAAGGGCCTAACTCACATCCCCCCTCATTTTTTTCTAAGTTAACATATAACCAGCCTAGTCCTGTCTTCATTAAATGTCCTTAAAAATCCCGAACAGCCAAGCTGTATGTCTCCCACAACTTGAAGAGTACTTCCAGAGGTGACGGAAGGAAGACCATAGTCAGCTTGTGACAGTGGCCTGTGGCTGCATGTCCTCACCCTGGGAGGCGGGTGCCATGATGGGGACGGGAGGAGGAGAATGCAGAGGTGTGGACTGGGCATGCAGATGGACTCTGGGGCCTCGCCACTCGAACCAGCACTTTGCGAGAACAGATAACATCATCATGAGGTATCAGAATTATAACTGGCAGGCTGAGAGATCTCCGGGTCTGAGGCGAAGCTGCTTTTGTTTCCATGTCTCAACTAATCATAATGGAACTCCTCAATCTGCAACCGTCCCTACACATTAGCAATATTAGATCACCAGACTAAATATATTTCATGCGTCAGCACTCCCAAAGAGTGTACTCAAAATTACTTCCTAAAATGACTAGAAGTGACACTATTTTTGGAGGAGGTAAAACCTACATCATACAAAATGGTATCACTCCTCCACCCACGTCCAAGCGATGCAGTTCACCACCTCAAGGGAAACCACTGCTTTCTGGTCAACTTTCCAGATACACTCTATTGGCACATAAATATTCTCATACTCATTTCTTTATATTCTCATATTAATTTCTTTACACACACACACACATTTTAACACAAATGGAAGGATATGGTACAACCATTGTCTATCAAGGGAGGCCAAGTTCATTCCTGGCAAGTATCACCCAGCTATCACATTTACATGTGTTCTGTATACATCACTGGTATTTCCTTCGCCCACATCTACCCAGAATACTGAAGTCACTATTTTCTACCTGGGACAAGATCTTAAATTTCCTACTGACATGATACTGTCTCCCTAGTCTATTTCTTCCCAAACTGCCCACATTTTTTTTTTAATTTTATTTATTTATTTTTTGAGAGAGGGGAAGGGAAGGAGAAAGAGTGGAAGAGAAATATCAATGTATGGTTGCCTCTCATTTGTCCCCTGCTGGGAACTGGCCTGCAACCCAGGCATGTGCCCTGACTGGGAATCGAACCTCGATACTCTGGTTCGCAGGCCCGCGCTCAATCCACTGAGCTACGCCAGCCAGGGCAACTGCCCACATTTTGAAATGAACTAGAATTTTATACACATCTAGTTTTCCCAAGAGAGTAAATTCATTATGTGGACAGGTCTGTGTTTCAGTGGGAAGACCAGCAACATTTTGATATATGTATTTCACTGATAAGTAGATATATCAAATACATACATACATACATACAAACTTAACTTGCCATTTTAAAAAAAGATTTTATTTATTAATTTTTTTAGAGAGGGGGGGAAAGGAGGGAGAAAAAGAAGGGCGGGAATATCACAGTGGGGTTGCCTCTTGCACGCCCCCTACTGGAAACCTGCCCGGCAACCCAGGCATGGGCCCTGATTGGGAGTTGAACTGGCCACCCTTTGGTTCGCAGCCTGTGCTCAATCCACTGAGCTACACTAGCCAGGGCTTAACTTGCCATTTTTATAAACATGTAAAATATGTACTTTCACAGAGGTCAGAGAGAATGCATATACAGCGGTATACCTCAAATGGCTCTCCACAACCCGTGACTTTGCATTCCAGGTTTTTGTTTTTGTTTTAAGACCAGGGTGAGGTTAAGTTGCCCTTGCTGTTAACTATAAGCAAACGAGTTTTCATGGCTATGCAGGGGTGAATATAAAAGCTCTAACAAATCTGCGATCCATATGCAAATGTTAAAGTTAGCTGAATGACTAACATATTTAGGTATTTACATTCTGTAAATTAATTTAAAAGCAGATATCATGAGGCAAATCACCTCTAATCTGTTGTGTGGCACGCGGCTTTCAAACCTGGGATCGCAGCACGATTCTGACTTTTGTGAGGCTGTCTCTTTTGTTCTGAGATTTTAATCTCAGAGAGAAGGCTGGAGAGTAATGGCCCAACTCGGCTCAAAGACAAATGATGCCAAGCTGACAATTCATAAAATATCAATAATAATAACCTAATTCATAAAAGCAGTTAGTAGTCATTGGATGTTTCAATACTAATAGGCATTGTCCAAAGCACCTTGTCAATATTAACTCTTTAATCCCTCAGTCCTATGATGTACACGTAATCATTACCTTCATTTTACAAATGAGGAAACGGAAGCTCAGAGGTGTTAAGTAATTTATCCAATGACACACAGCTATTAAGCTGAAGAGCAGAGATTGGATCCCTAGTAACCTGGTTGCAGACTATATACTCTTGACTAATTGGTTAGTCTACACTAAATTATTTAAAGGGTATCCTGACAGGAAATCAAAACTTATTTAAAAAAAAAAAAAAAGGTAGGTTGCCACATTGAGTGATTCAGCTTACAAATGACTGACAGTAGTAGAGGCATTATTAGCAAAGGAAAACAACTCTTTATAAAACCTTGGGTAAGAACTCCAGAGGGGATAAGGGACCACGTGCTTATTAGCCAATTACTCTAACTCTGGATGCCACCCTAAGCCCTTATGGTTTATCTTGGTGTACCTCCCACAAAGGGCACAAACCTCTCTCGTTTTGGGGCAGAATGGCTCAGCCGCCGATATGTGGCACACTCCTCTGGCACAGGAATGACTCCCATCGTAGAAGGTCTGAGGCCTTCTGGTGGTCCTTCAAAATAAAATGAAAAGGGTTTTTCACTGCTGCTGTTTTTTTTTTTTAAAGAAAGCCACCTCTACATTCTCTGAGGGCCAGCGAAATCAGCTGTATCTAGGTCGACACCTTGGTCCACAACCCAGAAGCAAGGGCTGTGGACAAGCTGAAGGCAACTGGTAAAACAGCAGCTTCGAGATGGTATTTGGCTTCTCGGGCTCCAGGCTGGTGGCAACATACTTTCCGCCACAGGGCTCCACGGACCAAGTGTCCGTGGTCTCGTGGCTGAGACAGGATAACCACACTGGCCTGCAGGCACCACTCAGTTGTGGGCTCAGCAGGGCAGGGAAAGCACCTAAGAAGTCAATGTGAAAACTCCCCATTGTTGTGAACGCAAAGGGCTGTAGAGCAAACCCCATTTATACCCATCGCCTAGATTCAGCAATTTCCAAACCTGGGTCAAATCTGCTTTATCTGTTAGTATCTCCATGGCTGTAAACCCCAGATTTTGTCATTTTACCCCTACTTCAGATGGACCAAAATACGTGGACTATTTCCACTGCAATGCCAGTATCACATCTAATAAAAATAACATCAATTCCTCAGGATCTGCTAATACACAGACCATATGCAAATTTTCTTGATGTCCTCAAAAATGTACTTTTTGCAAAAAAAGTTACTTTAGTTTTGGGTCCAAATAAAGTCCTCATTTTGCATTTGATTGTCAGGTTTTAAAATTACGAGTAATCTGGTCACTTGGCATGGTGACCGCCTTTCTGCGCTGGTGGTGAGCGAGCTCTGCTTGTACAACTTGACCCTTCTCTAGGAAGAGCAAGCAGCAGACCAGGAATATGGCTCCAGGGCTCCTGACAACCAGGGATGAGGTAAAGATACAACAAAGAAAGAAAACTACAGGTCAGTATTACTGATGAACACAGGTGCTAAAATCCTCAACAAAATATAGGCAACCTGGATCCAGCAATACATTAAAAAAAGATCATGGGAAATTCTGGCCAAGATGGAAGCGGAGGCAGAAACCCTTCGCTTCCTCACACAACCAAAAGGAGGATAACAACCAATCTAAAAATCAATAAACAACCAGAAAATCAAACTGCATGGAACTCTGACAATCAAGGAATTAAAGAAAAAAATCAACCAGAACAACTAGACCGGTAAGAACCCGTGGTGAGGCCATGTGGAGGGGCCTGCTGAGAAAAACCTCAGCCAGGCGGCAGAGGCAGTAGACCGTGCAAGCTGGCTGGCTGGCTGGCTGGCTGCAAAACTGAGCCTCAGAGCTGACTGTGGACTATGGCGGCTGCCATGGTGGGAGAAACTCTCATGAGTTCGAGAGTTCGTTGGAAAGCAGGCTTAGAGATGAGCAGGCGAGCAGCACCGGTTCCTCTCTGGCCCTTCCTCCACAGGCAGTGGCACAGAGCAGCAAAGAGGGTTGCCCTGCCCTGGTGAATATCGAAGGCCCCGCCCCATTACAACTTAACAGGTGCACCAAGACAAAGAAATAGGGCCCAAATGAAAGAACAGAGCATAATTCCGGAAAGAGAGCTAGGCGATGAGGAGATAGCCAACCTGTCTGATGGAGAATTTAAAGCCCTGGTAATCAAAATGCTCACAGATCTGACTGAGCTTGGTCAAAAAATGAAAATACAAATGAAAAATACCCAAAATGAAATAAAGCAAAATATTCAGGAAACCAATGGTGACAAAGAAACCAGGACTCAAATCAACAATTTGGAACAAAAGGGAAAAATAAACACGCAACCAGAACAGAATGAAGAAACAAGAATTCAAAAAAGTGAGGAGAGGCTTAGGAACCCCTGGGACAACCTGAAATGTTCCAATATCTGAATTATAGGGGTGCCAGAAGGAGAAGAATGACAGCAAGAAATCAGAAATTTATTTGAACAAATAATGAAGGAAAACTTCCCCAATCTGAGGAAGGAAATAGACTTCTAGGAAGTCCAGGAAGCCCAGAGAGTCCCAGAGAAGTTGGATCCAAGGAGGAACACACCAAAGGCACATCATCATTAAGTTACCCAAGATTAAAGATAAGGAAAGAATCTTAAAAAGAAGCAAGAAAAGAAGGAGTTGCCTACAAAGGAGTTCTTATAAGGCTATCAGCTGATTTCTCAAAAGAAATTTTGCAGGCAAGAAGTGGCTGGAAAGAAGTCTTTGAAGTCATAAAAGGCAAGGACCTACATCCAAGAATACTCTATACAGCAAAGCTTTCATTTAGAATGGAAGGGCAGATAAAGCGATTCCCAGATAAGGTCAAGTTAAAGGAGTTTTTCATCACCAAGCCATTATTATATGAAATGATAAAGGGACTTATCTAAGAAAAAGATAAAAAATACGAACAATAAAATGACAACAAACTCACAACTGTCAACAAATGAACCTAAAAGAAAAGAAAAACAATGAAAACAAAAACTAAGCAAACAACCAGAACAGGAACAGAATCAGAGAAACTGGCATCACAGGGAGGGATCTCAGTGGGGAGGGGGTAGGGAGGAATGGGGGGGGGGAGAAGGTACAGGGAAGAACTGAAAGAATTTATATGTACAACTCATGGACATGAAGTAAGGTGGGGGGAATGCTGGTGGGTTGGGGGGACAGGGTGGAGGGGAGATAAAGGAGGAAAAATTGGGGAAACTGTAATAGTATAATCAATAAAAAAATACTTAAAAAATAAAATAAAATTGAGAGTAATTCTCTCGTCTACCCTCAATCTCATTTTCTATGCCTCTGACCTAAGCATTTTGTTCTGCTGCAAGGTCAGGAATTTACCTCTGCTGCCTTGTTCCTCTACCCATCGTAATTACTTCTGAAGTCTCTTACTTCCACTTTTTAATAAAATATTTTTGAATTCAAAACTCAGTGCCAAGTTACCCAGCAATTTCTCACCAGAAATTTTCAGAATAAACCATTTTCTGAGTTCATCATATTGTTCTAAGCTTGAACTCATGAGTAACACAGGAAAGAGCGTCCTCATTTTTCCTACAGAGGGAAGCACAGGGGAGGGGCGGGGCAAGGCAAAGCCAAGGGGAAGGCAGAGCACCTGGTGCTCACTTCCGGGCAGGAGGGCGGGGGACAGCACGGGGCAAACAGCCTTCCCAGTCCAGTAGTGTACACAGCTGGCGTGTCTACCTGCCGCCTCACTCAAAGATGAGGCCTCAGTGCTGTGGAGGAATGAAAACACTGAATGAGTCTCAAAGAAAAGGCCGTGGCACCATTTATTCCAGCTCTGGCTTGATTTCAGCCTTCGTGAGTCAAGTACTAGTAACATCTCTATTCACAACAGTGACTGAACATGGACATAGAGCCACTATACATCCACGTGATAACACCCCCATCTTATCTATCTCTGTCCCTCTCTTCTACCTCCCTCCCTGCTTTGTCTAATTACTCCCATTTGTTCTGAACTTTCACCTTAAAACATAACATGCATTATTCATGCTTCATGGTATACTATAAATATGTGATACTTACTTTTTATTAGTATTCTTAATCTTCACCCAAGGATATTTTTTATGATTGATTTTAGAGAGAAAGGAAGGGGGCAGGGAGGGAGGAAGAAGAGAAAGAGGGAAAATTCCATCAGTTGCCCCCTGTGGACACCCCGACAAGGGACCGAACCCACAACCTGAGGTAAGAGTGGCGCCTGACCAGGACTCAACCCCCTGCCTTTTGGTGTATGGGATGGCGTTCCAACCGAGCTACCCAGCCAAGGCAACATGTGACACTTATTGACTATAGGTTTAATTCCCTCAAGTGGAATATTGTGCATTTTTCTCTTTAAACAGTTTCCGAATTACTAGCTATCTGGCTTATAGCAAACTGCCATATCCCTTTGATTCTCCATTTTCCAATCACAAAATATGGTGTCTATCCACTCACTGACAAGGACTCTCAGAAGCTTAAGTCCAGGTATCGCACAGCAGCTCAGAAACAAGGTCTGGGCTGGAGACAGAACTGGGAGCCAGCACCAAGGATAAGCAGTGGTTGAGGATGGCACTTGTTTGTGGTGTTTTACATTAATGAAGTGTCGACACGTTCAATGAAGAGTTTACTAATCTAAAATTAAATCACTATAAACACTCTGGCACGGAATAAAACGACAAGGCATGCTCAAAGATGAAAAAAATTCAGCTATGAGGTTTCCAATCACAATGAGGTAAGTGGAGGGCACCAGACAAGGGAAATGCTAAAATGAAAATGTGTGTAATTTTAAGAGCTCTTATTCTCCCTGAGGGTTTTTAAAAAGATTTTATTTATTTTTAGAGAGAGAAGAATGGAGAGATCAAGAGAGAGAGAGGGAAACATCAGTTTGTGCTTGCCTCTCGCACACACCCTACTGGGGACTTGGCCTGCAACCCAGGCATGTGCCCTGACTGGGAATCAAACCAGTGACCCTTTGGTTCATAGGCCGGTACTCAGTCCACTCAGCCACACCAGCCAGGGCTCCATGAAGGTTTTTAACTGAGGGAGGAGAGTTTTTTAAAACTGAGCAAAATGCCAGAAATAAATGTCAGGCAAGTCCCACATCATAGGGACAAGTGACCTGACTGAGCTAGTACTAGGAGGAAGCAGACCTGGTGACTGGCAATTTTCAGCCAAAGCAGCTCTTCTAACCTAACAGTATAATTCACTCTCACGCTGAGTTTTATCAGTGACAGGGAGGAAACATAAAATGCAGTTTTGTAGCTGATTGGACCTTGTTACTAAATTTTTGTGCAGTCTTGAACAAACTACTTAACTTCCCTGAGTTCTTTCTTCATAAGGTAAGAACAACACCTGCACTAACGCCCTTGTTTAATCATGACAACAGGGTCGCAAAACCTTTCAGCAGTTACATCCCAATACACTTAGATGCAGTAACATCTATTTTATATGGCAAATATGTGCACTTGGGGATCAAGTAATTGTTGGAAAAACTATTATTACTTCTATTGCTTTGAGATTGACCCAGTACCTGTGCCAGGTACTGGGTCAATTAAGTCACA